ATTCTCTCTACTTAATTTTCTATTTTTAATACAGGGGGATGCAGATATTTCATCTTACTATTAGGAACATAAGCAACTGCTATTCAGGTTTTAGAGTCATTTGCAATATCTCAGCCTCTGACACAGTAGTAAAGTTCAAGAAAAACTCATGTTAAATGAGACTTGGAATTACATCAGTGTTTAAGGAGAAATTCTACAGGAGAAATTCTACATTCCACATGGTTTTGTTGTGACCTGTAACATGCATTATTTGTGACATTTCTCATTTGTCTTAATTAAAACCTGAATATTATTCCAAAGCCTTTTTTTTATTGGCATCTTTGGGAAGAAACAATGATGGCTAGTTTGAGGTTTTGTCCCATCATTTTTCAGTAGCTGCTGGATATACCTACTCAGTTTCACAAGTTATAGAATTGCATTTTGGTATTCAAGACTTCAGCTTTTCATTTTGCTCACAATGGGCAAATGAAAAGGTCCTCTGGTATCTATAGTATTATTAGACCATATTTTTAAGAACAAGAAAAACCCATACAATTGGACAATGTCCAATTGTTTGCTGGGCATTCAAGCAATTGTGAGACTTCTGTTCCTTCTGTTTTGCCGAACACAGCATAGGACAAGAAAGAAACAAATGGCTTTTAATCACGACATTAAGCGACTCAGGCAATTTAAAATTTACCAGTAGGCAATGTTGACTGTGCAGGGCTGTGAATAGGGAATTTCTGTCTCATACTGTTGAACAGATACATCACTATGTGGCTCCAGGCTTTCTCCCCACAGGCAGAGTACCGCAGCTCTGTATTTTATGAGTTGCAAGGAACACCTAACCCCAGGTGAAAGGAGATTGCTGAGGTTTACTGGAATACAACACAAGGATGATTTGATTGGTAAGTTTAGTGTTAAGAACTAGCTGTTTATTTATTAGCTTAAAAATATCACACAGGTTAGAAACCTCCTCCCCACTAAAGAAATGATAATGCGATATTAGTCATTCATCAGAACCACTTCCAAATTTCTGAGGAAGAGATGTAAAATTTAGCAAAAAAACCCTTTAAACTTTTATTCCTCTGTGTGTGTGTTAGCAGTGTGAAGCTCCACTGCCTGAGGAACAGATCTTTCCATCCTGGACAACACATCATTCTCTCCATGTGATAACCATGCCCAGGCACAACCTGATGTTCCTCCATATTTGTCCAGGTTTCATGGACATACAGCCATGCCTCAGAGCTCAGGTGAACCACATATCCTCCTGTCCTGGCAAAGACCACCCAGACTGTGTGGATCAGCTGCTCCTTGCACACATACATTCCATCTGATGCCTCAGGAAGGCACCTGGGAGGTGCAGGCTGGAGTGCACAGGCACAGATGAGCTCTGCAGGGCATGTGCAGGAAGTCTGACATGTCCCAGAAGTGATGGGGAACAGAGAACCTACGATAGGATGGATGGCACATTTCAGAGCTGTAGGCTGTCACTCAGCAGTGGTCTACTGCTCCTCTTCTGCTGTGACACTGTGCTGACAGAAGTTTGCACTAACTCTTATCTGGAAAAACTGCTCAAGAAACATTAAAAAAAAATCCTAAACTGGGCTGGATTTGTTAATTTAATGGGTGGTTTTGAAGCACAGGTTTAATTTAAACTACACATAAATAATTACCAACCACCAAGAAGCCAAATCAAGTACAAAAATTCAACCAAAATGATGCACTGTTATACAGGCTTATGTTTATTATCTATTTCTGCCTTCCCCAGTGATCATCTGAACTTCATTTGCCCAACTGCTTTTCACTTTATATAAGAGGATAATTTCCTCCCCTATCAGTTGAAATTAATTTTTGTCTGTTGCTACCTAAGTGCTCACATAGAACATTTTCCATCTTCAAAAATAATAATTAAAAAATGAGATATATGAGCCCTTCCACCTTGAAGTAACAATCTGTACAACCAAAGCTAACTATTTAGGGGTCCCTTACTTCATTACTTCAGAATTTGATCAAAATCCCTACAAATAGGGATTGTCGTTGCTGGACAACATAATTCCATAGTACCTTCCCCCCCAAAAAAATTTATTTAAAACAAAAAAAATCATGTAACATTTTGTTGAAATTTTGTCTGCACCTCTTCAATTGACACAAAGAGGTATCTGCTGTTCCCGAGCTTCAGAAGGTGACACAACCAGCCTGAGTGCCTTGGCTAAGCAGATGGAAGAGGATGCAACTGATGCAGGAAAGCAATTTTTAAGAGCTGCAGTTTCTTCTGCAGGCAGGGTGAATATCTTTGTTTCAATCCATTTGAGTAGTTCAGTTAAGGACTATTAAAGCTGAAAAATCAACATTAGAGAAGAAAAAGTAAGATTGCCTATTTTCCTCTGTCTATCTACAGCTAAACCCAAGTGTGAGAGGATAAGATTTGCTTTCTCCAAGATTGTCAAAGCCATGGCTACCAGAAGCCTCCAATTTAATTCCCCTTCTAGGGGCCATTATTTCAGTTATTTAATAAAATATTTTAAAATGCAAAGATACTTTTGAAATGCATCAAGCATTTTTAAGATAGCTTTAATGAACAACTTTAAATGACCTCAAATAAATTTTAGTTGAATGTCAGTTTTCATACAAAGAGAACTTGATGCAAATCATAAATAACTAAAAATGTCAAGTATTATTCACCATTTTGTAACAAGAGTGTAAGGAATTAATTTTTTAATAAAATATTTTAAACCTAAACCAGATGTATTTCATGTGTATAGATATGATGTTAACTCTATAGATACAACATTAACTCTCAGTTGAAAAAGAAAAATGGCCAGATTTGCTAATACTGATCGGCTGATTTCTGTTTACATGTTCACCAAAAAAGAAAAATCCATTTCTCTTACAAAAGACAACTAAAATTTAAAAATTGAAAAGAAGATCTAAATTACCAATATCAAATATTTCTGCTTGTTCTTTTAAAGAATAGTTGAAATTAAGGATTTTCATTTTTCTGTGAAAATTAAGGATTTGCATCCAGCCACCCTTGACTCACCTGGAACATTTAATCAACGATTTTTAATATTAAAGACAACGATAAATAAGAACAATGCTTAGCACATTTTCTTCTTTCTTTCTTCATTTTTTTTTAAAGTAAGAATTTATTACTCATATTTCCCATGGGGAAACCACACAGCCTCAAGATTTCCGAAAAAAAAGGTGCCTGTAATTACTTTTCTAAGCTTGTATTCATGCATCTGAATAAGTGAATTTATTGTGAATATGTTCTGCAGCTTCTAATAGGTCCTAACCATTAGGCCGATCAAAAATTTCTCAAGCACATTTATATTGTTGCAAAACTGCTGACATGTCAAAATGCAAACTTTCAAGATAAATACATATGTTTTGCCAGCAATGGAAGCTGTGGGGGAAGGTTTTCAGGTCCAGTTTTGGAGTTCCGAGCCTCTGCCCAGGGCACGAGAACTTCTCGGAGGGCAGCCGAGGGGTCCCCCTGCACCGGGCAGAGCCTGCATGAGAGTTTGCCTCTGCTCGGTCATACAGGACCGTGTGTGGGGCTCGACGGCTTCTTTTCTTTCCTCCAGAACGCTTCCCAGGGCTGTCTGTTTAACCCTGACCTGGAAGAGATGTGGAAAGTACAATTATTCTGTCCAGGATGGGTATTTTCCAGCTCAGGATTTTCAGACTGCTGTTTGATCAGCAGTAAGTCACCATGTGTACCAAACCCAGATGTAACTCTACTAGTCATTGCTCGATATCCAGTACGCTTTCTTGCCTAGCTGGTGATAAGGGAACATGCGAGCAGGAATTAAATTTATTCTTGTAAGGATTTGAAATTTTTTTCATTTGAGAATCGCTCTGCAGTTGTGCAGTAAAGCCCTTTACATGTAATTTGCCTCTCCTGAAAGCATGCGTTTAACTCTCCTGCTCTCTACTCATAATATCATAGGAGTGCAATATTATATATTTATGATTCTACGATGGCCTGATTTCGAAGCAGAGGGAAGCTGTGTGTGCTCGGTGCCTCTGAGAAATACACTAGGAGCTGTCAGGGAAGGGACCTTTCCTCGGCCACCCCCTGCATCCCTCCAGGACCGGACCTCCGGAGTCCCCCTGGCGCCCTTCTCTCCCACCACCACCTGCGCGGCCGAAGAGACCGGCAGCGGCTCTCTCGGCGCCGGGGCGCTGCCCGGAGAACCCTCCCGGCATTCCCGGCGCCAAACTTCCCTCTGACCGCTGCGGGAAGGAGGGGGACCACCGGCACCCCCCACCCTCCGAAAGGCCGGCACGGAGTTCGTGCCTCCCGACCGCACACACACGCTCCCCAAGGATGCTGTGCCCCGGGCCGCGCAGCCCCTCGGTGGGGCCGGGGCACGCAGCCTCCCCTCCCGCCGGAGGCGGCCCCGCGCCGCCCCCGCTGACCCGCGCCCGCGGCGGGAGGGGACAGCCCGCGCTCCGTCGCAGCGCAGCCCGGCCGCGGGCACCGAGCATCGGGGCCATGCCGCGCCGCGGCCCCGGCGCATCAGCGCTCCGGCCGGGCGGGGAGGAGGCAGAGCCGACAGTGGGGGATTCCTGGCCCCCCA